TCCATTTTCTGCCTTTTAATGCCCCTCGGAGCGTTGATAATCTCAACTCTAGGGAATTTCGTGTTAGGGAATATTTCTCATGCCGCTTGCAGGATTAAGGCGAAAGGATTTAAATCCCTGCAGCGTATATATATATATATATACATTTCAAAATATGATGAATTTGTACAATTTTGATGTAGAAATTATATACAGAGCCGTATACAGTAGGATGGGATGCATGTTCAACTGCAGTTGCTCCAATATTTCACATGACTGAGTTACCTACTGAGCATATCTATGGTTTCGTATATGGGACGCTGGAAAATCACTTAAAAAAACTTATCCAAATAGAAATGAAATTTATAATATTTTCGAAACGGTAGCGTCACGATCTTCCATGAAATTGGTCGCAGCATCCCTTTTAACAAAATTCTGCGTCACAAAAGGAACGTTTTAGGATAACAATAAGAACTCGATGTTCCCACGCTAAGCCACGTCGCGACGCTGCGACCGCCTACGAACTGCACGGCGACGTCGTACGAAAACAGCATGTTAAGTATTCTGCTACGTGATTCGTTAAGCGTCTATCAAACGTTAGATTGGGGCGATAGAATTTTCGCACGTACTACTATGAATCACCCTTTGCTATGGGAAGAAATTTTATCAGTTTTTCTGTATAGTTTCGTTATCACTATCAGTCTGATATGATCAAATTTTGTAAAAGACACTGACACGTGCGATATAAAGGTCACGGGATTCACCTGGTGACAAAAATGTATGGTTGGCAATAAACATCGTGCGTAAAAGAGGCAACACGGCGGTTGGTTTAAAAGTTTGTAGAATAATAAGACAGCGAGGAAAGCTAGAAAAGGTACTTGGAAAAATTGTAGCCATTCGTGAATTCCCAAAGGACGTAGGAAACGGATTACTTTACGTTGTATAACGGCAGGTTTCACCAGAAGAGACGTTTTGGAGAATTAAATGTAACAAAGAAGAGAATGACACTCTGTTTGCATATAGGTATATCTTACTAGGAGGTCAATGAACGGATTTTGAGACACGGCGATGCGGTAGCTACATGCAATTCCGGGAGTTTGCTGGAGCCTCGTTATCACTTGCTGGCTGGTACGCATTCAGTGGGAAAGTAAAAAAGAAAAAGAAATTAGAAAAAGGCAGGTAGGTATCTAAAAAGGTAACCTCGTATTTTCAAACTTTTCTGAAATTACAGACTTCCCGTTTCTCAGCGTATCCGTATAACTGTCCCGAGCGAACCACACATTTCTACACCGTTCCAGAAGCCCTGAAACGAACCGTCACGGAAAATGGTTTTCAACCGTTGAAATGCATTTTTTTTTTTTTTTCAAGTTTTCCCTTACATTAGAGACGTCAGGGTAACAAATGAAACTCCTGGAAGCCCCAATACGAATAGGTGTACCTGTCTACCTATCTACGGCCAGAAACCTGAAACAGACAGTCTTACAATGGAATTTCAAAATTCAGACTGGCCCCATGTTCTTCGATCACTCTTCGTCCAGAAGCTTTTCCGTAAAAAGCTCTCTGCCAGCTTCCGGCACTTTTTTTCTTTATTATTTCTGCCACAACGCGTCGGCATATATAATGTAGCTTTTAATGCTCGGACTAATACAAAAAAATGAACGTGCCCTATCCCTTAGCATCTTACCGTCTAACCTAAATGTATTATCGTAAAAAAATTTCAGTAAGAATTTCGATTTTCAAAAAAAAAAATAATAACAAAATTGTGACAATTCCAATCTTTTCTAATCTAAAAAGTAGTTAGGTTATCAGCCCTATTCAGAAACAGACAATCTTACCCTTCCAAGTATACAACGCATATGTCACGTAGGAAAGCAAAAGAAACGGGTTGTTCGGTTAATCCGATTTCTGCTCCAAATACCAATCTCGACCGAAAGTCCTTGGATACGCGTGAAAATGCGATGTAACAAAATGCTTTTGTCTAGCCGAAAAAAGAGAAGAAGAAGATAAGAGGGTCATATAGCATAAGAGACTCAGTAGTACCACAAGGATCCTTAAGGATAATGAAACCAGGAAAGAACAGGAGATAAAGTACTAGAAAAAGGTTAAACGGATGAAGGAGGGTATAGAAATTCACAATTAAATCCTCGCGATTTTTTCTCTCTTTTTCTCTCCGTCACGCGTATACATCTTCCTTGTTTCACTCGTTCCCGTCGTTGACCACTGACGAGTATCGGTCACTCCCGAACTGGTCCAGCCGATTCGCATCCTGCAAACTACCTGGCACTGTCGTCTTTTTATTTTCTGGGCAAACTCTCTTTCTCTTTTTCCTTCTCTCTCTTTACTGCCAGCAAATTGGGTTGGGAATATCTCGCTGGTGCAAAAGCTTATGGTCGTTTTATGATATTCCTACATACAGCTATACACGTAGATACGTATAACCATTATATATAGATATACAATCAACCAGTCCTAGCGGTAACTGAGGTGCACTGCAAATGTTCGCGAGCTTTGAATTTATATTGCAATTCTGAATGCGTTCTATCCACGTTCACTTCATCATGTAGCAGCATTCCAGTTTTCCAATTTAATGAGCGTATGCCAGATACAAAATACTATTTTACCAACTGAGCATATACATACATATATATGTCTTCATATACATAAGGTATAAGTAATAAGTGAAAAAGAGCGATAATTGCATAGATCGCTACAAGATTCCACGATATAGTGTTTTATACAATAAGCTATATGGAAATCGGCGACCATATTTACCCCCATCTACGTTTAATTGTCATCAAAGAATTTTCCTGCCGAGCTTGCAATCGGTGTGAACAACAATGCACGCGCTTTTAACCCTATTACTGCTTATGCGCTTAACGAGTTAACGAGCATCACCAAGGCTGAAATCCGTGCTCGGGCGCCCCATTAGCCGTGATAAATATCCCACGCCGCGTTATGACTTTTTCCAGAGGAGCGCCCGCGCCACTGGTGCGCAAATGAATTCCGCACATTCCAAACTGGCCGTTACGCCAAGAACACGCTAATCTCAGCAATTAGAGCGCGCCATTATTCACGCCAGTGAATCGTTCTCGAGTTCTCGTTTATCGGCTAGTAGAGAAACGAAAAAATAATAAGGTGTCCGACGTTTCACTTAGTCGTGAATTGACTCGAATACGAATTCGCTAGTTGCGCAAACTGCCGCTTGGCGAGCTGGTCGCTTCAAACGATAATTATCCGACTGCAGCGCCGTTAGCGGAGACGTTGTCCAACTACCGGAAACTGACCCAGCTGATTGTTACTGTGTTTGGTTACTTGCTAAGTACTTCCGTCAGCTATCGATACCACACGCAGTTCACATTTTCGTCCCATTAAAGCCGCTCGAGAGCAAGATACTCAATACGGACGAAATATTCATTGAGGTCTTGAAAATGGCCAATGTCCATGAACCGTGGAACAATTTTCTCTCAGGGATTTCAACTCTATGATCGGTCAATGGGGATGCTAAGGACCATGTGGGTTCTCAATCTAGCATGAAGGGTGTAACTGATTTGATTGTGGTTCAAGGGTAGCCATTGTATGACGTCATAGGCGTGGTCGCATTCGATTGCCAGCGGAGGGACTGTGCTATATGGGACGTAATTGAAGGTGCTAGAGTTCGGAAGAATATGTCAATAAATCCTAATGGGATCATCTCGTGGGATATGTAATGGAAACTACCGATACCTATATAAAATAGCTATACCAGAAATAGAGAGAGAGAGAATAAGAGATGGGTGGCAGCATCGTAGCTTCCGTCGCTGAGGTAAATCCAGGTGATGCCGAAAATATGAGAAAAGAGTGGCGGACCGAATTAGATAAGCTTTGATAACACGTGTGTCGCTGATTGTTTCGTCCCGTCCCAACCCAGTTGACTATCGATTTGTCGAAAATTCCCAACTCGTTGTCGCCAGATCATTTCATTAAGCTATAGCCTTGATCAACGTTATCCAACCCGTGTGATTGTCCGATGTTGTGAAACTTTACTCAGGACCCGACATAGAATATTCTAAATATTCAGTATACAGTAAACATTAACGAACAACATATTTCTAATAGACTTGATTAAGCTAGCTATGTGCCACGTGGAGTTATGAAATGTCAATAAGTAAACGTCACCAGTTGCATATTCTATGTTAATGTGACGCGCAGGCCAAGTAAGCAGCCACACGTATATGTATATATGTATCAAGAAAGCAATTAAACAAGTACGTATATGCAACTTGTGCTTTTCCTACACGACGAAGTGGGATATAAATTATGTCGAGGCGTCTTGTAATTGGCTCATATTAACCGAACTACTTGCGGCAATGAGACCTAACCTATCTTCGTGGCTGGTTGCTCGCTGAGCTTACTGTGCTGCCATCTTGGATAAGAAGAAGAGGATAGATTCTCTGCGGGGAGATGGGATTGCGCCACATTTATCCTCGAAATCCCTGCTTCCTCCTTCCTAACTCTGCTCCTTATAATAGTTCCTTCTTGCTTCTCCGACTTCCTCTCTACCGTCGGCACTTTATTCCTTCAGCTCTGATCTCTATGAAATCCTAACGCGTTCATCTCAGAGATTTACAGCATCCCTATGTCTAGAACCGACCTGTCAACCCCTTCAACGGTCAATGGTTGGCTTTTTTCTTTCTTTCTATCTTTTTTTTTTTTATTTTTTTACCCTCTCCCTTACGTTCCGTCACTGTCAAGTTTTCTCTTTGACATTTCTTTTCACTGATATACACATCAGTGTGGTAAAAGAAAATTAATATATGTATTCCATATGCATCTTAACTGTAATCCGATATATCATTTTGGTCCAGTAACTTATATTTCTTCGTTTTATTTATTATACAAGGCGCTCGCATTGTTTAGTATGAAAGAACTTAAAAAATTTAATATTATCTGCTATGAAGTTCTCGTGAACTCGGAGAACGTGGAAACATTCATTACCCCCTTACCTCTCCCTCCCTTGCTCTATCTATATTTTTTTTCCCCAGGGTCGATACAATAGCGGAATTCAAGCAGCGCGAGAATGTACATACATTTTTGAGGAGCCTCCCACAGTCCATCGACTCGCGATTCATGGAGGAAGCTACACGGTGGGATTATTTGAACGTAACGCTGCACTTTTAATCATGCATTCAGATAAGAGGATTAGCGTAACCCTCGTCTAAACCTCGAAACCAGAACCGAATATCCCTGGCAATTCGATATTTCTTCTTTTGTCTTTTTTACCTCGAAACCTTTACCCTTCACGTCACTCGCAGACGAGCACGATTTTAGGTTATCAATTTTATCGAATTTTGATATTTCAATCAAAGCTTGAAAATATTCTGCGAAGAATGCGAGATGTCTCAGCTGGTCTGTCTAGAATATATTTTTACTGAAAAGGAAACCGCGTGAAAAGTTATTCAATGGCAGAAGCGCTACGAGACCCAAATAATTGAATACGTGAACGAAAAACGTGAACGACAGATTTTTGAAGGAAAACAAAAAAACTATCTTCCTGCACATTTTCGTCGAAAGTTAATAAAACAAATTTAACACAGTGTTTATTTTTTTAAATCGACATTTCTATCTTATTACGTAATTTTCTTCAATCAGTTTGGATTAATTTTTTTAATTTATAAATTCGAGCTCCTCCTCGAGGCACTTTAACGTGCATTTTTTTGGGGGGGGGGGGGCAGTGATAAATCTAAATTTGAATTACCCTCTTGAGAGTAGGAGAATAATTTTTTTTTTTCCTTTTTCGCTATCGTATCTCTGTGTCCTTGGTGTTATCATTGATTCGAATGGTGGCACCAGCTTGCGACCATTTCCAGTTATGCACATAGAGGCGCCATGGCGTCGAGCATTTCAACAAAGGGAACAAAAGAGGCGCCGGATGAAGTATATATATGCTACGCGTATGTACAAACCATGTACGTAGCTTATTGGAAGAGGATTTCTCTACGTTCGTACATAACGTGTGTTCTTCGAGCAAATCGAAACTATGTCGAACAAAGTCAATAGTTTCTCGCGCGGGAACAAAAAATGAAAATTTGAAACCTCAAAGTAAGTTGACATACCATATTCTGATTTTATCCAATGAGGTCTGACAATTGGAGTATATTTTATTTCTCACGTAATACCAAACATACCATAGTTCTACTCGTATACGAATTATTTCTTAAAAATATATATATATATTAAATTTACAATATCGACGCTACATTCTGACTCAAGCTCGAATAAAATCTTTATATAATATAGATTCTGTTATTTAGTCTCTAATTCATTATTGAATATCCATACAGTAGCTGTATAAAATTGTTTATCGATTAATAAAGCCAAAGGGAGCTTTCACAACGGTACTACCAGATGCAAATATTTCTGGGAAATTCTTCTCCGTAATACCTTAAAGGCAATTTCATTTATATACCTATACTTTGTAAGTCTATCCTTCCCTCTCTCTCTTTCTCTTTATTGCCCTTTCTCTGCTTGCGCTATGAAGCGAAAAGAAAGGGATTCAAAGAATGGACGTCGAATGGGTTACGAAGTGGATCCGGCAGAGGACGAAGAAGCAGTCCAGGAAGGAAGTGCAACTTCAGGATGCTGGAACGAGTTTCAACCTCACGATCGTTTGATCCCATCCTGAGAACCCGAGTACTGGCTACTTACCTACAACCCTCTGTATTTTTATCCTTTTTTTTTATTCTTGCTTTCCTTCCTTCTCTGCACTTTTATACCCTACTGCTTCTACCCTCGTCCTCTTACCTTTCTTCGTCCTATTTTTTCCTCCCTTTTTAGTATCCTTTTTGCTTTTCCTTTTACTTTTTATTTTCTCTTGCTTTTCAATTCACCGTATGACTTCCTTTTCGGCAAACTACTAACATCAAGCAAGATTTCATCTCCAAATAAAATCTTCCTTATCAGTGAAATACGAGATCGTTCAATGAACCATCATTGATCTCCTCTATCTTTTGTAACCTTAATGATTGATTAAAGTTTAAACCCTTTTATGGTCCTCGTAAGCTTTATTTAGGATGAGAGAAGCTTGAGTTTTATATATAATATATTTTTCATTTTATCTGTGCAATTAATGTTTCTGAACAATGCACTAGAAATTTTATGGGTGGAATTATTTTATGCCCAACTATTTCCCAAACAATTTACGACGTATGCGAAACGCGAGCCGTATAAATATGCAGACGCATAATTGTGCTACAGAATGAGTTTGAAAATATTTTACGAGAATGAAATTCTTTGTTTTATGAAAACCCTTGATATACAAATAATTCTTCGAGATCGAAGCAGACTTTTATTTAATTCAGTATTTCATTATCATCCTGGCCTGTTGCCAATTATAATGCAAATGTTCGTGTATTATAAATTATAATTATACTGAGTCAATATACTATACTCTAGTATGTATTGTAACGTATCTTCTTAACTCGACGTCGATAGCTAAGGAAACGAGAATTGTCTTCGAGAACTAACCTACGTCGCCTTCGGCCGTCCATCCTTCGCCCATGCATCCGCGTGCCAAACGGGCGTCAGCCAATTATTTTTTCATCGGAACCTGACGAGCTGATACGACCTGGGAGTTGAGGTGGAACAGCCTCAACTCCACAAAAACGAGAGTTCCGACGGAATATATCAGAAGAGACGATTAACCGTATAGGTGCTGAAATTTGGGGTCGCGTGAAATCAGCAAACGTAACGGGATTCGCGGACGGGAGCGAACGATTACAGAAATACACGACCGCTCAGGCTTCTAGGTTGAGGTAGAGCCGGTCGGAGTAGCGCAGTAGCAGTAGTAGTATTAAGCGTCAGGTAAATAAGGCGAAATACACGGAGCAAATGATCGGCAACGTAGCAGCACGAATCGGAGCTATAAAATCAAAATCCCTCCACCAATTAATAAGTAGCGAGTACTCACCGGAGCTGGTTCAGCTGATCCGTAAAGCCCGAGAACTGCATCCAGGGGACACTCGGATGGGCACTGCACTATAGCACAACACTGCACCTCCGAAACACGCGCAGAAAATCTATAGGATTTTCTGGATATAGCGAGAGCAACGCGAGAACTTCCTATACCGTATAGGAAAGACGGCTAGAAAAAGTATCAACAGAAATCACGGGAGCGCGAGGCAGCTCGAAGCACCTTGATCGGTGCCCCGAGACAGACTGCTTTAAAGCAGTCGATTGACAATAGCCAAATCCGAGAACTAATCAATCTGATTGGTCGAGAGCCTTATAACCGATAACTCTTCCATCTCCTTCGAGTCGTCCCTTCAAACCAAATCGAGAGCGTTCCTTAGCGAATCGGTACGTAACTTCTGGAGATCCTCCACGGCCGCTTCCCCAGGGCATCGGGCGACAGCTGGGCACCACATCCTTAACTCGGACAGGAGGTTCCTCCCTTGCCCTTAATCTTAGCAAAACCTTATCTCCGCCCGCTCTACAGCCCTTTGCCCATCTCCAGCGGGGCGCCGGTATCTCACCCGGGCTTCTGCCGGTCCGTGGAGACGTCTCCGTCGGGTACTCTCCTCTGCCGGGCAACCCGGTACGTCGAGGCCATCTCTCCACGGTAGATTCGAGCACCTCGACCTCAACTAAACAACAACGAATCTTTCCGAGAGCATCGGCGTAATTCAAACGATTCATCTTCTTACGTGTTTTTTCAAATTCTTCTACATAACTACTGGGTGATGTTTTTATTTTGTTTTCAGAATTTTTGAAAAACATTAGATACGCAATGCAGTGAGAGAGCTTTCGAGCAATGCTAAATGAAATTTTAAAGTTTTGCGGATTCTGCTTCCCGCATACGGGCTGGCAACTTCTACTCTGCTTGGGTCTCCGCTGGCGAACGATTTTAACTTTGCTCTGAAGCTCCTACGGCAATTGCTTCGCTTGGAATTTCAATTTGGTGTTTTTCATTTTTTAGACAATATTTTCCATTTGATTTTTTATAAAAATTCGAACTTCGACATTATTTTCTCCTTATCATGCACATATCGACCGGTGCCTCTTTACAATTTCAAGAAAATAATTAATATTTACAAACTACACGGAGAAAATTTTTCATTAAAAGTTACCGTGAAACTGGGTATTTCATAAAATGTTACCCTAAGTATATATTTAAAAGCAATTCACGAAAATATACTGAAAAGTATACATGACACGTCAGCTTTTACTGAAGTGTGCGGTAAAAATTTTGAAAATGGAAAATATGTAGTGTAAAAACCTTACTGTTATTATTAAATATATTAAATATGTAGCATTCACCTTATTGAATTTAAAAAGTCATCTAAAACAGCCGAATTATGTCGTTCGCTACATTAAGTTTTACCGTGGAAAAGAGAACTAACGAAAATAACATTAACATAAAATAACATTGTAACATTTTTACTTACTTTACATTCTTTTGAAGCCAACCACGAAAAACATAGTGACTTTTAACATGTTTTTTTAAAAAACTTTTAACATTTGTACCGTAAAATCTGATAATAAATCGTTTATCTAATTTCTTTATCATTTGAAGTTGGCTTGATAAATTGTTGTTTAATTCATATTTATTTGCTTTATTTATTCTCTCACGTATGTGCAGAGCATTAGAAATAAATATTTCGAAAAGAATAATTCAGATGAGTAAATGTAGTTTTATTGAATACTTAGTCTAAATATGGTTCTACCGTAGAGATCGAATGGATGAGCGAACTTCAGCCGATGGAATCCTCCTAAATAACATTATACGCTGTGACGTCATTTTTCGACTCAGGGTCACAAGGCGACTCCAGCTACCAATCCAGATAACGTCTTCGCTTTCTGCTTCCCTTCGAGTCGCCACCCTGTTCAGAAGCTGCGCTCTCGGGTTGATTCGTACAGTTACGCCAGTGCTCTCGGAAAGATTCGTTGTTGTTTAGTTGAGGTCGAGGTGCTCGAATCTGCCGTGGAGAGATGGCCTCGACGTACCGGGTTGCCCGGCAGAGGAGATCACCCGACGGAGACGTCTCCACGGACCGGCAGATGCCCGGGTGAAGTACCGGCGCCCCGCTGGAGAGAGGCAAAGGGCTGCAGAGCGGGCGGAAGTATTTGGTACGGTTAAGGGCTGGGCAGGAACCCCCTGACCCCGGTTATGGTTCGTGTACTCGATGCCCTGTAGAAGTGGCCGTGGCGCATCTCCAGGAATTACGTACCGATTCGCTAAGGAACGCTGCCAATTTTGTTTAAAGGGACGACACGAAGGAAAGAACAGGAGCTATCGGCTATACGGATCTCAACGAATCGGAATGATTAGTTCCCGAATTCGACTATTGCCAATTGACCGCTTTAAAGCAGTCTGTCTTGTCAATTCCGTAGTGGATCAATAATTGTTATCTTACGTTCTCCATTTGAAAGTTCACAATCAGAAACGAAGGAACTGCGGCAACGCCTTGAATAATTATTCTTGAAAATTGTACACG